GCTCACTGCATTGCCTAGCGGCTGCTGCCACACAGCCATACAGGAATTTAAAGTGTCCATGATGATATATGGAGTGCGAAAGTTCATCAAAGATTGCATTGTTTTCCCGAATCGCAGCCGCATTGGTAATGACAAAAAATTTAAGTATTGTAAATATACTAAGTAAATTTAAGGTAACTAGCAGGAACAATAAAAGGTGGTCTGCGAATCGTGATTGTCCTGTTTGCTGCATGTTCCATGTTTTCCTCTTTTTGTATGAACTTATGAATGATGCTAGCAGTTGATGTTTCTGAGACTAGAACTCCCCCACATTCTGCTCGATTCATTTCTCTTGGCTGCGGTCTCGCGACTGTGCACCGACACTGGGAAGGTGTTTCCGATTACAATGGGTAACACTCTCGCTATGGTTGAAATGTGCACTCCGCGTAGGATGCTTCTTTTAAATTATAGGAAATATTTTTCGATTCATGGGTACTGCAATCCATTGTTTTGCCGATGTGTCATTTTAAATGATAGGTGAAATGAGCTTAGAGAAATGACATCTGTGTGCTTAGCGTTGCATTGATTTTTTAGCTCAGGGATTTTACTGAATTCTTATTCTTCACCTTTAATGACACAAAGCTCATTTCACAGGGTTGAGTGCGAAGGATAATCACAGGTCAGATGAGACCTACAGGCTTTATACATATAACCGTGCCAAAATAGCACGTGAACGTTCAAATTGTGTTCCAAGGGCATTGGTTGAATGCTATGAATGTGTTTTCCTCACGCATATCTGAGGAATCCATTTGGCAATGGATTCAAGCAAAGGTTCGCACAACCGAAGCTAGATGACGCCAAAATAGTTACGCATAGCGGGTTTATTTCTGTTACGACTGCAATAGTCCCTAATACTTTCCATACGCTTGCTGGCCTTTCACCTCACAAACCTGAGTGAAAATATTTGAATTCTTCAACAAAATGGCCTCAAGCGGTAACCCAGTCAAAGGAGTCGTCAGAAAACTCTGGCTCGAAAGCTAAAGGGAAGATGATTCAACTTCGATGGTCACTTCATGCAGCAGAAGAGCAATTTGGAGATGACGAAAATGATTATAATCGTTCCTGTGTGAAGGCGTGCATTGCAGGGCGTGACGTGCTACTTGATTATATTATAACAGTGGATACGATGATGGTTTACGCAGAATGATAATTACCACACGCTTCTCTACCAGACTATTCCATAAAAGGGAAAATTCAACCGGACTATAAGGCGACATCATGTTCTCTGACCCATGCCAAGGGAGCAAGGCTTTACTTAGATTGGATGCAATTAAAGGGAAGGAAAGAACGTATCTAATACGTTAATTGCTTATCGGATGAAGCGGAATAAAGAACGTTCATAGAACCCTTTTTTATTACATTGAAATATCTAATTCTCGTCCTACATGAGTTCACAGTTCAAGGAACGCCTGAATTGACCTGTTATTGGATGCTCTAAAGTTTTGGATATTTAAACAATCAATACAACGTTCCCATGGACTTACATGGAACGCTGACGTTACCTTAAATGAAACGTTTTTTTTTTAACATGTTCGGGTGCTACTCGGGTGGTAGACTCCGAAGTTCGTGGTATCTCCATCCACGACAACAGAGCATTTAGTTTCCTTCTGTTTGCAGCAGGTTTACCTGCCACTTGTAGTAAATATTCCCTTCAGTCCTGGAAAACCGTCCATAAACATGAGGACGGGATTCATCTTCCGAAGGGCGAACCATTTCGAACGGCTCATCTTTCATAGTAAATAATACAAGCAAGCACTCAGGTCACGGATGTCGACATTAAAAAGGCATCCTTTCACCATCCCAAGCCATTGGTGACGAACTTGGACACCATTCAATGTATTATTGTCAGGAGATGAGGGACCCATCGCAAACACCATTTGGCATTCTCCAAATCCTCTTAGTAAAAAATGCAAGCACGTCCAAAACATTCAACAGAGAAAAATACCAGAAAGTTCTCCCTCTCTCAGGGACGACATGATGAAAGGAATCCTCTCCCAGAGACAAGTTTCTATGAATTCTTCAATTAGCAGATAGCTCCTGCTAGTCGAAAATGCTACGTATCTTTCAAAACAAGAAAGAGAAAAATGGCTGAAAACGACAGATTTTTCCCTCAATTGAATGTCAGAAGAAAGAGAAAGACATTGAATCTGATTGTTCCCGTCTTGTAGGAGGAGAGAAAGGAAATATCAATATTTTTCAAGTATAAGAAGGTGTCGTAAAAATAAAGGAAAAAGCAAAAAAGCACGTCCTCAAGTATGAAAATGCATTGCTCTGTCCTAACCCTTTCATGCTTGAGCTGTTTTTTTTCGTCGGAAAAAAAATCAGGTTGGTTTTACTTATGTCCGGGAACACGGGAAAAGTGGCGACACTTCCCCCCCTCTTTTCCCAACACCCTTTATTCAGGCAATGTTTCCCAGTTGTTGGTCTCGATTCTCGGTCCATGTTAAACTAGAATGATCTGGACGCGAACCCGTATAATTCCAGGAGCAAACGGGATCTCCCATCGAAAATTAAATGCATCATGAGGATGAACAGTGCGATTCATGAAGCGAATTGGATTTTCTCTTCGGCATGAAAACCTCATGTGGGTCAAAAATGTCCATGTGAAATAATTGTCTCTGGAACTCTCATCCTCTGGAACTCTCATCCTCCTCCGAGGATGAGAGCCTCGCGAATGAATTTTTTACGCTGCCAGGCATCTCAGATTCTGAGTTCGATACCGTGTGAAATCCGCAAACTGACGTAGCCATTCCACTTTTTTTATAATGACATTATATTTCCACTGTTTTGTCTGTGCAAACACTATCTCCGCCTCGTAGAGGGAACAATGAGTTATAGGTAAGCTGAAAATTTTTAAATACAAATACAGATTTACAGTATGACACACACACCCTCATCGAACACCATAAAAGATGCATTAAAATGCGCCTTATGCACCAGTAAATGCGGTAACCTTTTTCAGTTATTACACCGAAAATAAATTAGGAAAACGGCTCTTTCAAAGATGACACAAGGGGTTTACAGTAGAAGGCCGACTGGATGGGATCCCACGATGGATTTTTTCTTCTATCACACCTTCTGAGGAATGGACTGGCTCTCAATGTCACAATGAACGGCGCCAAAATAATTTTCTTTGAGGAAAATGATTATTACAAAATCAGGATGATCGATTCCTTTAATTTCCTCCCCATGACGCAATCGAAACTCCTGTTTACCTTCGGCCTAGAAACCATCTGATGATATTCTTCTCATTTCATGTATGATGGTGAACACCAAGATTACATAGGCCTTATTCCACCTCCTGAATCCTATGGATGTGATTCTAGTTCGTCCCACGAAAGAGACAAAGAAAGAAATAAAGAAATTTTGGAGTAGCGTCAAACAAAGAAGAAAGTGGATCACCATCACAGTTCAGGGCATGACAAATGACCGTGTAGAATGGGAGTTATGTCTGAAAACGAAGAGAAATCAGACAGCTGATTGGGTTTATCCATATCCTACGACAGGCGAACCGAATTGTCCTGCCTCAGGAGTTTGCTCGCTCAGATTTGTCAGTGTAGTCGACTTGTCGAGCTGTGATGGCGAACTTCCGCCCATGGTAAAGTTCGCGTTACATCATCCAGAGATATTCAAGAAAGTAATAGGTTAATATGCTTCATCTTTTGTCACCAGGGGGCGGACATCACTGATAAAAATCCTGGAAACTGCTGATTCTGGGAATGCACTCTCACCCAATCCAAACAGGAGCAAAAGCACCAGTGAAAACAGTAGAAACCATTGGCTACCATAAAGCCATAAAACGCACCATAAGTAGGGGAGTGTTGACCCCCCCCCCCCCCAAAAAAAAGGAAATGAAATGAAGTAGTTGCATAAAGTCGCTGGATTCATATATGATCTTATCCGCCCCCGGTTCATGAATTTAAGGGAAAACTTAAGGGTGAGTACACAATATTTCCTTGTTAAAATATCCTTTTTTTCTCTCTCAATGACCATAATATTGCCCGGGTTGCTTCCATAGGCCTTTATCAATTAATTTTCATAATTTGGTCATACAGATTCCATGTGTCGATCTTGAGGGAAAGCATCATCATACTACTAACATCCTTTGAGGCTTTGAAGATGGAGGGGTTCCTGGAGCCTTACTTCTATCAGTCGAATACATCTCTCTGTCATCTGCCGATGACCAGATTTACCGTTACATAAATTACCTAAACAAAGGCGAGTTGCTGGAAGTCCTTAATTCCAAAGAATTATGGTGAGGAATGTGATGGTCTTGAGATGGAAGTAGTTCGACTTTTTCTCAGGTTAATTACCAGGTTGGGATAAGGGATTCCCCAGACCGTTTATTTCAATGATTCGTGAAAGGGCAGTATAACAGGTTCGTGTCATTTGAAACGTGCAGCAGGTTCAGTATTATCACGAACAGGATTTTGTGCAACTGTGCAAAATCTCCAAGAGAGCAATGCTCATACAAAAGGAATGGTCCACATGTCCTCAAACCAATTCAAAACTGAATAGTTAGGAGGAAGCAGAAGATTAATTCCCTAAAAATTATATTCGAGACCGTATCTTAGCAATGTTCAGTTCATGGCAGCTTTTTGTCTTTCATTTATGTCGCATGTTCTTCAAGCAAAAATTGAATTTACCAGCACCGTACACTGGGTATTATTTTTTAATGTTCATTGGCTTTCTTCAAAGTATATGATTGCAATAATTCATGGTTGCAATAAATGTATCCCATGAGAAATAACGCAGTGGAGTAAAATATATCCTATTCCGAGAAGGTTAAAGTTTCCAGTTACCAGAGTCATGGTTACATCTTAGTCTTGCCATACAACCTTGAAATATAATTCCACGTCTTCTTAGAAGTCGCATTGTTGCAGTAAAGTGGACCATGGTGAGGCGTTACAAGAAATCATGGTTTTTGCTGCCCAATGCAGTTTCTATTCATGAGTTGAAGCCTACGCAATCGGACATAAGGGCACGTCGCAGTACTCCCATTTCTTCTCTAGATCGTGGACGAAACACCATGGTCGATTCTTCGATGTAGGGTTCCGACAGTAGTTTCGGTGCTTTGATGGATCTCCCCAATGGAAATGTTTCTCATATGAGATCTCAATATCGAAGTCATCAGTCTTTCCATACGGTTGTAAATCCCACGAGAGACATGGTGTTCTACTCTCCGTCACATGCACTATCCCCACATATTCCTTCCCCATTTCTGTCAGTCGGCAGTCCAGATCTAACATCGGATTGCCTGTTCATATCCAGACCATAAAAGAGTTAGATTTATCCAATGGTGACTTCGTACGTACGTGAATAATTTCGATATTTGAGTTACTTTTGTGAGCCAACTGTATTATGAAGATTATTCAGTCTCACAAGTCTCTTGTGAGACTTGTGAGACTAAATCGCAACTTTTGCAACTTTGCAACTCGCAAGCTTTATTTGTTGGCCTATCTACTTTAAATTCTACGTTGTATATTCATGTCACTGAATATTTTCATCAATAAGGCGAATTTACTGCAACTTTGAGAAAGGCAATGTATAAGCGTAACTCATATTTATACCTTTTAGAGCTGATTTCATAAGGAAGTCCCAGCAGAATGGGATTTCGCATTCATGGAGACCAGTCCCGGTTTCGGTGTAACACCAGGGACCGCCTGCATAATTGCTGGGATTTCGACAGTAGCTGTGGCGGCTGTCGATGCCAGGATCGGGAAACATCGGCAGCAAAAGGAGCGTTGAATGCTTGTTTGGGGTTTGGCTCAGCCAAGGTTGACACTTCTCTCCATTCCTCGCTACGTTCGTGAACCCTGCATATTCCTCTCCCTTTCTTGTCAATTTGCATTCCATTGGATCTGAAACGCCATGAAGACAATCGATGGATTTATTGGAGCTAAATAATAACTAACAAATGGGATCGCCTTATATAGGACGATTAAAAAAGTTCCACCGTTTTCTATGGGAGAAAGGCAGCTTCATAAATGCGAAAGAATACCCTGGATAGGCGACCGATATTTGACAGTTAGTTGTTGATATGCGTGTCAGCTTTTTTTCAGCACCCCTGCCTAAATTGTGCCATGCCCATTTACAGGTAAAATAAAAATGCTTATAATTGAATCATTCCACCTGAAGTGAAGTAATGACCAGGACTACTAATTTTGAGGTGATGGAGCATAGACTCTTCCTGCATTTTACATGTAATGATCCACTCATAAACTTTATAACAAGATGATACATAACCTAAGGAATTGCTCCGACAAAAACCTTGAAAATCTCTAACTCCTATATGTCCAATATCAAGAGTTTATGTGTATATTATGTTTTTACCCGAATGGATTACACGTACTATTTCCCCTTGAATACAGTGTAATTTTTCTTTTAAATTACCATCGGTTACCCGATCAGCAATAGCGCCCTCTATCGGGATTTAGCGGCTTCTTGAGGAAGTGAAAAAAACCTTTTTTTTTAGGATTCAAGATAGTTAGCGATATCAAGAGGCGATTTCATCCATTTCGATATCACGTGTCGAGGTCGAGCGTTCTTTAATTTTAGGGTAGGCCTAACCCTTTTGAAGCTAAGTATAATTTGAATATTTCTTTTTTACTATCCTAGTTGCTAACGGTCTTGTACCTAACGTAAACATTGCCCCCAGCTTTTTCTTGTCCATGAAAGCATCCAGTTTCTTCTTAAAGATCATCACAGGAAGGGCAGCCACTACTTCGTCATCTAACGCATTCCACGTGTTCAGCACTCTGCAAGTAATGAATTCCTGTCTCGACCTGAGCCGCACCCTGCGATTCGCGCAACTTAAGTTGATTACCTCTCGTTTTCTTCCTGCCATCAAACTGGAAAACCCTACCTCACTCGACATTATCTATTCCTTTGATTATCTTGAAAGCCTGGATGAGATCGCCCCTCCTTAACCTTCGCTCGACGGTGTACAGTCCCAACACCTCTAAACGCTTCTCGTATGATAGTCCCCTGACCTCCTTCATTATTGTGGCCCTCCTCTGTACTCCCTGGAGCGCCGACAAGTCGCTTCGTTTGTAGACCTCCAAAACTGGATGCAATATTCCAACTTGGGTCTTATCAGCGACGCATTCAACGGAAGAATAACGCTCGAAGTCCTATTTCCAACCGAACGACGAATGTAACCTAGAATCCTGTTGCTTTTGGCGACCGTCGCATGCGCGTGCGAGGAAAACTTGAGGTCCTCGTCGATAGAAACACTTAAATCTCTCTCTCCGTTTGCCTCATCCAATTTAACATCCCCGAACGTGTCGAGAGACCTACCATTGTTTCGACCGACGTGGAGAACTTCACACTTACTTTTATTAAACCTCATGAACCATTTCTTGCTCCACTCGTCCAAAAGACTTCAATCTCGCTCGGCTCTTGCCCTATCCGCCTCTCCCCTTATGGTAAAACCTATCATGGTGTCGTCAACAAATTTACTTATCTTACCCTCTTCGCCGAGATCTAAATCATTTATGTAGACCAAAAAAAGAAGCGTTCCAAGGACAGAGCCTTGAGGGACACCGCTTGCGACTCCGACCTCCTTCGACGCATCCCAATTTATCATCGCCCGTTGCTCTCTTCCTGTCAACCAGCTACTGATCCACTCGCTCGTCCTACCCTGGATCCCGTGCGTCACCAGTTTAACTCGCAACCTCTTGTGAGGACCGGTATTAAAACCTTTCGCGAAATCTAAATAGAAGATGCCCCACGGGATTCCCTCATCACTCTTTTCTGTCGCCCAGTCATAGAATTCGAACAAATTGATGAGACAATTTCGACGCCTCCAAAAGCCGTGTTGAGTCCCGAATGGGCGCGTTTCCTTCGAGGAAATCCAAGAGATGGTCCCTTAGTGCGAGTCATAAGTCTCTCGTACCGTTCTGCAAGTAGGACACTTCGGATGTCATCCGAGTCCGGAATCGTCACCTGCGCCCCGTGGGATCCGTTTTGCCGGTATGATCACGTGTCTAATTTATATCAGCCGACGTCCTCCTTCTGTCCGATAGAGGCATGCACTGGTGAACTTTTTAGAACTCGATTCAATCGGCCCGTTCCGAATCGTGGTTTAACCCGACTCGAGACTCGATAGTGGAACCGAGCACTACTGGCCCCACCTGCGCGTCTTGTCGGACCTAACGTGTTGACCCGTACCATGCTTAGGCCTCTTAGCTTCAGGACACGTGGTCTTTCGATTTTCTAAACGGCTCCGTTGGTTCTTCTGAAGCTTCCAGCCATCCTACGACGTCACATGTGTTTTGGCCTGTTCTCTGCTGTCATCGGTCAGTACGTCCGGCTAGCAACTGTAAGCGGCTGGAGAAAATGACACTCCGATCTTCTGATATCGGTATTCGTTTACCCCCTGCAAGAAGCATATTTACCATCAGTGTTGCCCGCTCCTATCCGCGTGTCGTGTCAGTTAAATAGAGCTGATCCATCTACCGTCCATGACTCCAAATCATTATTTGTCCAATGTCCGGGTGTTGGAAATTACAACTACGTGTATCACTTGAATGCTACGAGGGGGAACTCGCTGCGAATGTACATCCATCCAGTTGAGGGTTCCCTGATGACATAAAGCATCCTCTATTATTGATCCAGAGCGTGGCACTTTGTAGTTTGAACGATATCCCTTTGCTGATTGTATTTCCTTTAACCTCTAATAAAAAAAGTTACTATGATCCTCCGTTTAAATTTTGTTACCAGCGAAGCGGATCCTTCAGGTGTAATCTAGAAGATGGATATTCAAAAGATCCTTAATTACTGCTGGAATTGATGTTTAACATATCAATGCTCATGGGATACATTTCAACAGGTAAATGTCTGAACCCTTAGAAAAGAATTACGATTTGAATTGCAATCCAGAAAAATTGCATTCAAATTGACCAGATTGGGAGAATTTTGTCGCTTGACCGCCGTAGCAAAAAAAATGGAAAAGATAATAAATAATGGACTTGGCATTAAAATTCTGAAGTTTTTTTTTCCTTTCAGTACATGTGATATGCATTTTAAAAACTTTGGTTTCCAGGCATGTGGCAACAAATTTCATGATTACTACACTTGAAAAAAAGCTTGATATGACTTTCATCAAAGTCAGAAAAACTATCATGTTTTGATTGCCACAATAAGGGAATTTGTGACATTTGAAACACATATGTCCTTTTTGTCATTTTGAAAATATGTTACTTATTTTACTATTTCATAACCCTATCATCATTTCTGGGAGTCATCATAACAAACACTAATCGCAAGTGTAGGAGACCGTCCTCGGGCAATTTCATAATATGCTGTAGTTATTACTTTGGTGTCATCATGCCAATTTCCTGCAAATTCAACGCAAAATCTCCCATTCTTGTGATAGTGAAGGGAAGGAATTTAACCACAATTACTACGATGTGGGAGTCCAGATAAAATGTGTATTATGGTATATGAAGGCATTCGAACATCTTTTTGAAGACATGATTTCAGTTCAATTACAGTCATGTGCCGAAAAGTAATCATTTCTCTATAATGTGTCGATTGGAAAAATTAATGTTGTCTTCTTGGATGAGTACAGGTCTCCATGATATCATGCAGGTATTTTGATCCCCGGGTTGATTTCAGAGAAGGAGCTATATGTATATGATACGGATCTTTGATGACAATATCAGCGATATACTCCGGTTTCCAAAACTTAAGGAAAATGCAATTTGTTTTCGCGCCTTAAAAATGGACCAACGCAATCTATTCATTAAGAGCTGGAGATTGATTTTTCACATGCTCTATTCAACGTGTGGTCCACTTCGGATGCCTTTCCCTCGGAAAATATCAATTCGCAGTAAGAGATTCAGTTACTAATAAGATGTAAAAGGCGTCCTTTAGATGCAATCAACTGCATAGTCTGATACATGAGATGCAACTGAAGAAGTGGCGTCAGAAGAAGTTAAATAACTATTGAATTATTTAATTAATTAACACATTATATATTTTGTGCAAGGTTTCAGACCATCACAATCAATATGGGAACTTAGTCTCCTCCGTGTGGTTTCTTTTTTATGCTTAGGTGATTCAGTGAACTTCGTATTGTTTATGTACATCTAGATTAAATAAAGGACAATACTTCAATGCTTGTCCTTCCTTTCTCGTGCGTATATATTATAAAATCATGTGTACGTTTAGTGCATGTGAAGAATGAAATTGGTTACCTCCTTCTGGCACACCCTGTATAAATTGAAGACAGCTTTTCCCCTTCATAGCTACCACTAAAAGCTGATCTATGAGCAAAATCGAAGTTAAGCTCTCTGAATCTGCTATTTCCGTCGGCATAAACTCTGATGTTCTTTTCAGTCTGGCTTAATGAACTCAAGTGGGAGCATGTATTGGTGAACTGGCGATTCATTGCTTTGAACACCATTTTGATGAAAACTTCGCATAC